AGTAAAGAAGAGATTATGCATTAATGGCAATGATAAATATGGATTTATGGAATTAAGTCAGGCTGTTTTAAAAAGGCAAGTAGAAGAAATGGTTATTGAAACCACTAATGGATAGCAGTATATCACAATAAGTGCTAAGTTGAAAAATACATAGGAGATTCACCAAGATTTTATATTTGAGACATTTCCTCTTTCTCAGCAGGTATTAGCTTTTAAATCTTTTCATATCTACTTAGATTTTATAGTTTCCTTTTGCTTTCTTTTTTTCTTTTATCTCCTTTTTTAGTTTGTTTGGAGGACAACATTATAGTGGCAAAATATCCAATATATTTTCAAATCCTTGTGGACCTCCTGTATAAAGATCTGGAATCAAGCTAAATGATTTCTGCATATCAAATTTTAAATATTAGAAATTTAGAGGTCTAAGCAGAGAATCATGATACATCCCTAAAATGTTACCTATAAACAATAAGAAGTAAGAAAGAACATTAAAATGCTTCATTTTCAACCATGTAGCCATTGAATATACTATTAAAATGTAAAATTTTTATAGACCTTTTCACTAGTATTAAATTTTGCTTCAGTTATTTATGATAGACTATTATTCGCTATTTTCGACAAGCAATTAATCTATCTGAAAACATTTTTTATTTTTSTGTTTTGTTTTAGGTGTTAGAAATTGAATCCAGGACCTCACACATGCTAAGCAAGCACTGTGCCACTGAACTACATCCCTAACCCTGAAAAACTATTTTTAAATTAATCAGATAATTAGGAAAGACAACTCACAACCTCATGCAATCAATCAACAATTTGCTGTTTGAAAAACTAAACTATGATTAAAAATAATTATATATCAGGCTATAAGCCATCCATTTCTTAAGAAAATAGTTCTTTGAAAAATAATATCATTTGTTTCTGCTGTATACTTTCTTGGTTTGATCATGAAGTGATTTTTCTCCATTCTCTAAAGTGACATTTTTTTCATAACCCAGATCATCCTCAGCCTGGTTGTTGGACCAGGCAGCCCCATGAGACTGAGTTTGTACCTTAGTGCCTGGTGTTGAATATAGAGTGCTCAACTAGTATTTACTAAATGAATGAACAGTGAAATGATAGTCAAATTCAATGAGACAATATTTCTGAGTTTGGATTAGAAGTATTTCTAAAGTTTGATTTGCTTTTGTTTCAAAAGATCAAGTGGCTTCCTGCAGCCCTCTGCCTAATGTGCATGTCACAATGCATCACGAATAATGCATTCTCCTCTTTAGCCAAGGGRTGTGTATCTTATGGCCAGAATTCCAAATTGGCAAACATATGTGCTAAACATGGTCCATGCCAATTAGCTCAAGTCATTACCATTTGGCACGATCCACTGCTACGTTAAGCAAACTGCATGACTATAAATTCTAGCTTTATTTACACAATTCCAAATATTAATAGTAAAAAGCCTCTAATTAAACATACTTTCCAGTGATATATCAGAATGCCAGACTTGAAGCCAGATGACATGCTGAGGCAGGTCCCACTATTCACCAGTGACCTGTGTGAACTTGAGCAAAGAACAAAAACCTCTCTTGTCCTTGATTGGTAATTCAGAAGATTGTTGTGAGAGAAGAAACTATACATCCATAAGGCTTTTTGTTTTTTTCACAACTCAACCCTCAAGAAAACATAGTTGTATTATTGATTTTGCTTGGCTAGTGTCTACATGAAAGTGAGACAGTTAATAATAAGAAATTAATGGGAATAGACACTTGGCACATAGTCTTCTTGTTATCAAATATAGTCACATAAGGGATGCTTGCTTCAAAGCAGTTGGTTGTGCCAGAGTGAAGAAATTTCTGGTGAAATTGTTTAGAGACTAGTTAAGCCAACTGCAGGGATCCACTTAGTATATCATTCTTGTATATGTGGACCTACCTGAGGTGTATATTGATGCCTATTTTATCCTCTTATGGATGGTCTCAATCTTTGGGCAAAGTGCACTGTTGTTGAGAACCAGAAGAATCAGATCAGTCTTTCTTGGGACTGTGCTATTTTGAAGTCATTCAAATAATTTACATATTGACATTTGTCCCTGGTCTCTGAGTTAGTTATCAATGAATGAACTCTCTCAGCAGCAGACATTTTCAGTAGTCCTCAGGGTACCAATTCTATATTCCTGYCTATATCTATATTGAGGCAGTGCTTCTCAAATTGGGAATGCATTATCCGGGGGGATACAAAAGAAGTGTCCTACGTTATAAGAATATTAATTTTGTTAGTTCACAAATAATACAAAACATCATTTTAAAATATTGAAACAAGTATTTCACAGAATAAAATGCAGCATTTACATGAATTTTAATGTAAAACTTATAAGACTTCGAAAGAACTCTTGTCTGGTAGGCATATTTCCAGATCTTTCCAGGCATACATGTTCATTCTCTGAGTTAGGTGCAGTTCATGGAATAGGTTTAGAAAGCACTGCACAGATGCATCTTGGGAACCCTCTGTCACCAAACTGTCTCCCTGTGGAATACCAAATTCAAAGATTTTTTAAAGAGGAAAATTTTCTATTTTTCCTAACAAAAGACTATTGGCCCAGAGGAACTAGGATGAATTGAAGGATAAACTTTCCATGGGATATTTTAGAAAATCCTTTAAAACTTAAACCAATGAAAAGGAAACAAAGACCCTTCCTCCACTTAGATTGAAGGGACAAGAGTTTTTAGGGAAAACACTTCCATGAGCCTTGTCCTCGACTAGGCAAGGCTACTGATGTTGGGAATTCTGGAGCAGACACATGAATAGTGAGAACTTAGTCAATTGTCAGGACTACAAGATAAGTCCACTGTGCAGTGAAATTAATTTAAAAAATTGAGATACATCAGTAACAGACATCAGACAATAACTGCTTCATGAGGCTATATAAATAAAATGATTTTCATAACTTACTTGCTATTCATCTAATAGCCAATAAAACTGTTTGACTTTGAAAAACTATATATAGAAAATTCAAACACTCTAGCTTTACAAAAAATGATCAATGTTTAGTTTTAGACACTGAAATAAGTATGAGTAATGTAAATATCAATGATAATGACCATAAACTCTTAAAGGTTATGTTTTGAAACATAAGAAACAGAAATGCAAAGTACAGTGAAAACAAAATGTTTTAAATAATTATTTTTAGCAGCAGGGCTGCTTAGATTTCAACTAAAGATCAAAGCTTGTTTTCTTATCTGAGATTTAATGACCAGATTTTGTTAATAAAGAAATGTTAAAGCCTGAAGCTAGGTTTTAATATTTGGGCTATTTTTTTTTCTCCCTAAGTTTTTTCTTTCTTTAACAACTAGAATAAAATATAGAATGCTTTTTTCCCCCCTTTACACAATAAGCTGTGCTTTTAATTTGGCTCATCATTTTCCTATTTCCCTGAAATTTATACCCACAGGTGCAAAATGTATTTTGCTGAAGCAAAACCTGGACATTCATGGGAGACAAAGGAATAATTCATTTGAAGTTTTAAGGGAGTTTGACATCATTTTTTTCTTGGTTTTCATTTGGGCAAGACTGAGACCCAAAGAGATTGTGGAGGTTTATACAGGATCGCACATCTGGTCACTGCACATCTGTGATCAGAGCCTCGATTCCTGTGAAGTAAGGTGGATTGGAATGACCAGGGCTCCAGGACAGACCTTCCCAACAGGGAACCGCCCGCATGTGCCTTAGTGCCTCTGGATTTCACCATTCTCGGTAGAAAATGCTGGAAGTAGCTTTCATCAAGGTTACCACTCCCAAGGAGATGGATCTGGAAACCTGATGAAGGTAGTTGCTGAAGGGGTTTCTGATGAAAGTAGTTACTGAAGGGGCTGCTGTCATCTGTGGCTTGGGCAGAATTCCTATCCTGCAAAAGAGAAAAACTTCCCAAACCATTACAGAGAAACAGTGACCCATTTCTAGGCTTGGGCTCTTTCCTTTGTAACTCATGTTGAAACAAACTTTCTCTCTGTAATGGGTGGCAGTCTTGTTTAAATGGCTCTGCTTTTAGTTTTTCAAAAGTCATTTTCTGGAATTTCCATTTTGGAATCTCTACATTATTATTCATAGATCTTTAGTTTGAAAAGTTTATATTGAATATAAGAGAAAAATGTAGTCAGGTTGAGATGGACAAAATAGTTTTTTTTTTAAAAATCTAGTTTCCAAATATGGAGTGCCAATTTTTAAAAAAAGTTTTGTTGTATGATATAACCCTTTACGTATTTTTCAGGATTTTTTAAAAAATGCATTTCTCTAATAGGCTATGGCATGATGCATAACCTATTGGCAAAATTTCAAGCTTCCATTCCAAATATTGTTATACCTGGTCGTTAAATCTTGCTGATTTCCATGATTTATAAATAAAATCACAAATGCTACAACGAAGCAAAAGCAAAAAAGAAAAACATACCCTATGGATTATAGCACAAATAAATAAAAATACTGTATTCCTTTAAATGAATGTTCTTATAAGAGCTTTATAACCCAAAGCAAGATATGAGAGATGGTTTAAGAAGAGGTTGCAGTTTTGCAACCGAAGTCTGTATAGCTCCTCCAGGCAGTAGCTGTGAAGGAAATACCTGTGTCTCAAAGACTTGTTTCCACATGTTCTTGACACTTCTGCATCCAGGCCCCGTTATTTACGTTATGCATTTTTGCAAGCTCAAAGCACCTTACTCCTCATAATTATGAATGCATGCAGTGACATTTCATCCTTTCATGTGCAAATTCTAAAATTCATTGTAACATAAAAGTTAAAACTTGAAAATCTGCCTACAATTTGAAATGAAAGGATCAAAAATGTCAGACATTGCAGAGGAACTGGTTCCTAACAGAGCTCTCTTTATTGGTTTACTGTTCTTCAGTTGTTTTTGTTTGTTACAAAATGCAGTCTTGACTCTTTATTTAAACAGTACTTAAACTAAACTGTTCATGCCATGCAAAAAATAACATTTTATGCACTTTTTTTGGGGGGGGGATAGGGGCTTCCCATGATTTAGTTCACAGGCATTATTAACCGTGTTTTAAGAAACAAGTTTTTTGTTTTTTTAATTATTGCTTTTGTAACTAGTCACATGCTGGTTTCACGTGTGGGACAATAACCTGTGTCGCCTGGGTTGGAATGAATTTCTGGGGCAAACAAGTGGTTTTCCATCTTGCACCCTTCTTGACTACTCTCCTTTTTSACTTCACCCACAGCGTGACAAATGTCTTGCCTACAGTTGTGACTTGTGTTCTGAGGGGAGGAAGAGCCCACACAGCCCTCTTCTCTCAAAGGGTCTCTCCCATCACTAGGCTTATCTGCAAAGCAGTTGGGGCTAGAGACTGCTTGCATGTCCGGCCTGGCCCCTTGGAGCTCCAAGAAGTCTTCGTCTTCTCCAGTATCTATTTCAGTGAAGCTTCTCCTCTCCCTCGAAGAGAAAGGAAATAGTTTCTGTTTGGGAAACCTAGGGGACAGCCCTTTGGAAGGTCCCTGACAGTGTGCTGAAACATCAGCACCCAGCAAGGGTCTGTCTCCCTGGGGAAGGGTTTCTTCCAGGAGGATGGTACTGATGTGCTGCGGGGTGGTAAGAGAAAAGTCAGCTGTGGTCACTGGCAGTGGCCTGGCTGTGCTGGGTGGAGTCTGGGGAGCATTGCCTCTGTTTTCCTGAAAGTTCACTTTGAGGGATCTGGACTTTAATGGGTTGCTCCCTTTCAGCGAGCTCTTAGGGCTGTCAGTGGCGCTGTCAGATGGCACAGGACCATGTAGCCCACACTGGGCACCACTGGCATCAAGGTTCACAGTTATATCGATTGGGGCATATTCCAGGGTGGCATCCCTGGCATCACGCCCTTTCTCTCTGCTGAGTGTTAGAAATGGGGGGCCTCGGGCTCTTTGGTGCTCATCTATCCCTGGGAGGTCAGTGGGGAACTTCATCTGCAAGTGAGATGCAGAGGGTGGTGGCAGGGGTGATCTCTCTGTCTCTGTGAAGTCAGTGGCACAGCTGGTGAAGCTGTCGATGCTRGAGGTGCTCTTCATGTCCACAATGACCTCGGTCTGCGCCACGGCCAGCTGCTCCTGTGGGTAGACCACTTCTTCCATTTCTATCTCTTCTTCATACCCAGATGGCCTCTCAGGCTGTTCTTGGCAGTCTGGGTTCGGGTGAGAATGAGGCTGTGTCTTGGTGATTTCATTATACAGCATCTCCAGTTTCTGGGCACTCAGATGCTGTGGGCTGGAGGAAGAAGTGTTGTTCAGCTGCTCGTGGGAGTCTTTTTGGCTAACCTCCTGGTACTTATTCTCATAAGATTTGTTGGAGCTTGTTTCTGACAGAGCCTTCCTGGCCCACTTCCACCGGCTTGGGGACAGGTGATTATCATCCGCCGAGTCCTTTGTATTGGCTGACTCTCCAGCCTTCTCAACAGCCACGTCTATCAGTTCCATACTTCGAGCGAAGGCATCTTTTAAGTTCATAGAAACAATGCTTCCATTCCTTTTGGCCCGCTCAAGAGCCTCTCTCCTTTTAATGGCCTTCTCCTGACGTTTCTGCTCTTTATAAAACTCAGAAAAATTGTTCACAATGATCGGAATGGGAAGGGCAATAACCAGAACCCCAGCAATACAGCAGAGGCCTCCCACAATTTTCCCTAGTAATGTTTTAGGGTAAATGTCACCATAGCCCACGGTGGTCATGGTGATGGTGGCCCACCAAAATGATGCAGGAATACTGGTGAACTTGGTAGCATCTTCATCTTTCTCAGCGAAAAATACCAAGCTGGAAAATATCATTATCCCCATGGCCAGAAATAATATCAACAAGCCCAGCTCATTGTAACTCCGTCTGAGGGTGAACCCCAGAGACTGCAGGCCCGTTGAATGTCTGGCRAGTTTCAGGATCCGAAGGATGCGCATGATTCGGAAGATCTGGACCACACGCCTCACGTTTTGGAACTGCAGCACACTCTTGTTGGACTCTGTGAGGAAAATGGTGACATAGTATGGTAAGATAGCCAGCAAGTCAATGACATTCAGCGGGCCTTTAAAGAACTTCCATTTATTTGGTGAGGACAGGAACCGTAAAAGGTACTCCATGGTAAACCAAGCAATACACACAGCCTCCACGTGTGCCAACTTGCGGTTGTCGGTGGGTTGTCCAAATTCATCATTTTCCTGCAGCTCTGGAAGTGTGTTGAGAGACAAAGCAATGGTGGAAAGTACGATAAACAGGATAGACACGATGGCCAAGATCTGGAAAAGAGGAGAAAGGTCAAGTTAGTAAGTCCTCTTGGTGGCTTAGGTGGCCGGGCAACCTGTGGATCTGTGGTTCTCTAAATGATATGGAATGCTCCAAGTGATTCCAATAAGGATTTAAGAAGATAAACTTTTCCGCCTAAAGTTCTCTAATGAATACAAACACATTCACTCTTCATGAGTTCATTCCACTTAAAAGCCGAATGCACAGCTGGGAGCCGTGGCTGCACACCTGTAATCCCAGCAACCTGGAGGCCAAGGCAGGAGTATCAAAAGTTTGAGGCCAGCCTGGGCAAATTAGCAAGCCACTATCTTAAAATAAAAAAAAATTTAAAAAGGAGGTGGCTTGGGTGCAGTTCAGAGGTAAAGTGCCTCTGGGTTCAATCCCCAGTTTTTTTTTTTTTTTTTTAAAGAGCCTAATGTACATTTAAATTCTAGGACCTAATTAATTTGAACAAAGTCAAGTCCCCTTTCCATGCCATTGTTCTTAGGCACAGTTGTGTGGGTTTTCCACCATTGGATGTGGGCCCCATATGGCTAGAACATCTTTTCTTTCTTAGCTAGCTGTAATTTTTCTCTCTCAACCATCCTGTTGTTTCCTTAAGTGAATTGTCTTACATACTATATAAGCTAAACAGAATTCATGATTGCTATAAGTTTTATTATATAACTAAGAATATAAATGCAGAACATAAATGTGAAGAGAGAATATGGCACTCTGTTTGACACTACTTCTCCTAAGAACAAATACTTCTTGTGTGTAGTAAGTTTTGACATTGGAATCAAGTCAGGATAGCCTTTGTTCTGTGATGTGTGCACTCTGGGCCAACATCATGTGGGAAAGGAACATTATGAGTTATTATGGTTTGGACATAGGTGTTCCCCTCAAAAGTTTAGGTGTTAAGACAGGAGTGTTTAAARCTGAAATGTTTGGATCATGAGAACTGTAACCTAATTGATGAATTATTCCATCTCATGAATTAATAATTTCAATGGACTACTCTATTGGGTGGTTGGCAGGTGGGGTGTGCTGGAGGAGGTGGGTCACTGGGGCATTGCATCTTGTCTCCTTTGCTCCTTCTTCTCTGTCTGTTTCCTTGTCAGCACAAGTTAAGTAACTTTCCTGCCTTGTGCCCTTCCACCATGTTGTTCTGTTTCATCTCAGGCCTAGAGCAATGGAACTGGCCAACCATGGACTGAATCTCTGAAACATGAACCCCAGATAAACTTTTCCTTCTCTTGTCAGGTCTTTTGGTTATAGCAACAAAAAGTTTACTAACACGTAAGCTAAGTTAAGTCAGGCAAGATAAAGAGCTTGAAGAATGATCATGGTGATAGTGCAAGGCAGACGTTCTAGGCAGAAAAGATAGTAGCACTATGTCGGACTTGGGAGGAAAGAGGCAGAGCTCAGAAAGAAGAAAGAAGAGGATCAAATGACTGGGTTTTAGAGTCAAGAACTCTGAACTCTGTCCCTGACTTTCACTGTTTGACCTTGGGCAAATTATTTAATATTATCTATCTCAGATTGCAAATACAGTGAGTGAAGGCAATAATCATAGTCACTTCATGATTGCTGTAAAGATTATAGAATATACAGATGTTGCTACATATATAAAAATACTCATAATTGTTAGAGGCTGAAATGTCCCAAAAAAAGTTATGTAGAAAATCTGTAAAATTATGCATTATATAGGCAACCCAAGAAGGGATTTCCTCCCTATAACCCAATGTTCTAGATTTATGGGGTAAACTAGGAAGATTAATGTTTGAGGGCAATGTAAGGAAGATGTTCTTTGTTTAGTAAATAATGCACATTTGGTATATAGTTCTTGGTGGAATAAGAAATCTCTCAGGTCAGTTCTGGCTTGGTTTCATCTGACTTTTGGCCATGACCTTGGTAGGTGTCATTGGTCTCAAGTATTATAGGTAGCTTTGAGAAAAAATATACTGACAGTGAGTGTTTCATTTAGAGAGTCGGCGTCTAGTAAACATTTGAAAGGACAATGATTAATATTCTGAAACCACAACTCTACACATCAGATTGAAAAAAAAATTAGTTTACATCAGGACTTCTTTCTCTATTTCTTTTGCTTTATCCTCTTAAATTTCTCTACTTCCAGACAATTCTCCTTTCCCTTCCTCCTTTCTCATCTTAGGCTTCCGATGCCTTTCATTGTTTGTTTGCTTTTTTTCTTCCTATTCTTTTGGCTCCCATCTTTCCTCTTAAATAGATAAAGAAAACCATAATTCAACATATTTCAGAATGGGTCACAGACATTAAATAAAGACTTAGGTCTCTTTAACTTAAAGAAAAATGCTTTATTATTAGTGTTTGTGGTTTTTTTTCCCTTAGAAATAGGTTAAGCATTTTTTTTTCTGAATATACTTCAGAATTTCCATTAAAAAGGTGGGTAAGTGAATAACAGTAGAAGAAGGTCATCTACTCTAAGAGATGGTGAAAGCTGAAGTTAGAAACTCCCTCAAGAAAGTTTATTTAAATAAACCCCTGGATAATGGGATTCAGATGGTTTATTAAAGGCACCCTGGGAATGCTCACTTTGCATTTCTTCCTTCAGAGGCCAATGGCAGACACCGCCTACAATACTCCATCACTAAAATGTGCCTGAGGGGAAGCATTAGTGAGATCCCATCCATTTACATCCTCTTACTGTGAGGAACCAGGGCGGCCGTGCATTTTCTAGGTGGTCTCACTGTTACTAATATACCTTTAGACCACTTTTGAGCATTGGATTTTCACCATCATTCTTGTACTGATACTCCCTAGATTTTCCACATCTAAATCCATTCCCTTGCCCATTTGGGATGCATTTTACTGATGTTTATTCTTTAAAGAGAAATTAGAAAAGCAGAAATGCAATTGAATTCACTCCACATTCTATTATTTTCCAACCTGCTTTCCTCCTCTGGAGATCCAACCTAAGGCCTTGTGTTTAATAGGCAAGTGCTCTACAACTGCGTCATACCCCCAGCCCCCACATTTCAATCTTTAGGACAAAGTGAAAAATGAAAAGTCCAAAGTGGGCCTTCAGTTTTTTTTTTTTTTAATTCCCAATCAGTGCTAGATTTGTAGGCCATTTTATTTCTTCAATTAATTTTTTTTTTTGGGAAAAAAACACAAAACGTTCTATAATATTAATGTAGTCCATAGCCTAGCTGATTACAGTTTAACAAACATGGCTACCTTTAACCCTTGGAAATAAGCAAACACACAAAATGATTGGGAGTACATTCTTGAAGAAAAATAATTACTGAAGGAAAAAACACTCCAGCCCTAAACCACCCCACATTCATATTAAGGAAACCATAAGGCAATGAAATACATTATTTTCTCCTGGTGAAATTCACCCTATCAAAACCCATTTGCTCTCAATCTAGAGGAATGGTTTATTTTAAATATCTTCTGAAGCTTGGAGATCTCCCAGAAAGACAACACTTTAGACAAAATTTTGACCATATACCAAAGGTGATGCGTGGAGCAATAACCCAAATGTACAGTTATTGTCTTATTGAAGGTTTTTTTTTATACACAATAAATATAATAAATGTGAAAATTTTCTCTAAGCTAAAGGATGAACTTCTAAACATGAATATTTACATTAGTACAGCAAACCCTCGTGGCATTTAGGTGTTGCTTCATTTATCTTAACTGTGCACAGGTTAGGACAGGACTGACTGAAGTTTTTAATCTCCGTCACCTCCAACAACTGACTTCTGGAGCTGGCAGGAGGAGAACTGTTTCTCTCAGCTTCCGCAAATAGACTGATGTTTGTACGTGGCAAAGGAAGTGGAGGTTCCAAGTGATTGTGTCATGTTGGTATGGTCTCCTTGGAGATTTGGATTAGGTCATCTCCAAGGTTCCTTTACCTCTAACATTTGGTGGTTCTGTGTTTAAATTAGAATATTTTGCTAATTCCAGTCATGTCTGTAAACAAAGCCAAGGACAAGGCACAAATGACCCTGACATTTTGGTTCAATAGACAAAATAAGATTTTATTGCTTACAAAGTMAAAAATTTAAAAGGGAAGACTTTGAAAAAATATTGCACCATCTATGTTCTGAGTGTTTAATTACCGGGTACAGACATTCTTTCTGGATAAAATGTGCTTCCCTCGTGAATTGTCATCTGGATGATGACTTTGTATTTTTCACTTAGATATAGATATTCACAGGATCATGTGGAGTTAAGGACAGGACTCCTAACACTTGTATTAGTGGGCACTTGAAGTTCATTATATTGATCTCTGTTTGTGAGAGGGAGTGGGGAASCTGGAGACTTGCCTCAGTTATGCCAACTTAATGATTTTAATCCTTTGAAGATAATGGTTGTTTTGCAGTGGAAAGAAACACAGGACAAGGAATTAAAGTAATGATACTGCCTCTGCTGACCATGTGGACAAGCCAGTTTCCTCCCCCGAGTTTTAGTTCCTTCTTCTCAAAATGAGGTGCCTCACCTTACCTTGGAGGCTTGTTAAGGATCAAACTGGATCACACACAGGCAAGCATCCTATAAAATGTGAGTGTTCTAAGTGTAAAAATGCCAGAGATGTGTCTGGAAGAAATCTCTGACCAGCACTGGAAGAGAATAAACACACTTAAACTGTTTATTTTCCATGTTAATACAATTCCAGAGCTGTTCCTATTCTCATCTTTAACACTTTCAAACATATTACCTAAGCATTGATTTGCCCAGGCCAGTGTATCTTATTTTTTTTTTGGACTGGACTATCTAGATTGTCTATATGTGTGGAAAAAAATAGATGTATAGTCCCCTGACCCCACTTTTAGGGATTGAATCCAGGACCTTACGTATATGTGAGGCAAGTATTCTGCCACTGAGGTGCATCCTTTGCTCTTTTTATTTTCTGTTTTGACACAAGGTCTTGCTAAGTTGCCCACCTGGACTTGAACTTGCAATCTTCTTGCCTCAGCATCCCAAGTAGTTGAAATGAAAGTCATGCACCTCCCTGAGTGGGTAG